CTGTCCTTCTGAAGAAAAATATTGGAGAAAACAGTAAGGCTGGACTATCCCCAGAACTGCTCCAGTTAGTGCTTTAGTAGAGATATGCAAGTAGTATCGCTACTAGAATTTCATTAAGAGTAAAAACTTTCCCTGTTGCACTACCAATAGCCTCTTACTCATAAGAAGAGCATCTTGTAGAATCCTCCATTACATCTCCAGGCTTGCATTTATCATTTTACCACATAAAGCACACAGTATGGGTTGGGAACATGATAAGCAGGATAATAGTGTCTTACTGAACTGAAACTGATTGTTGCATTTGTTAAAGCAATGTAAACTGAGAAGAAGCTGGGAACATTGTCCAAACCCTTTAGAAATATGCTGCTGTTTTAATTGACCAATTGAAAATAAACCCCAAAAGCTTGGTGGTTATACAGAAGTGTCTCCCTACAACAAGTAGCTGGCTGACATCTTGTTTCACTTTCTTAGATCAGTAAAGAATTCCTTGGGCAGTCATGTTCCCCTTAGTTGCTCTGTTGTATACATCTACGATGGTAAATGCTGTAAACAAAACTCCCCAGCCTAACAGTGCCTTTTTGCATGACTAATAAACACAGTAATCGGTATGGGAACTCATGGAATGTTCTACTGCACTAAAAACCCCATAGTTCTATTGGACGATAAACTGTAACATTGTCTTAGGTGGAATATGGGGATTTGGATCGACCAGGATCTTCAAGTCCTGGGGGAACATCACAATCGAAAATGCAGCATCTTCTCCACCAGGTTTTAGATAAATTCTACCCCAAACGCTACAAGCAAAACATTACTCCTGAACAGCTCAGGTAAATTGTTCGTTCTTCTATACTTTGCACTGAAAACAAATTTTACTTGCAAAATTCTGTCTTTATATTTAAGAAGTTTCAAGGAGCCCTGTCGAGATTATTTGATGTAGAAACTTAAACAAAACACAAGTGTCAGGAAGAGGTTCCTTTAAAAGAAAATAGCAGTTAACTAATATAAAAAGAGCCAAATCACAAACTAATTTTCCCCTAGACAAGACGTTTAAGCCTTTCACTTCCAAATTAGGCATCTCAGTTCCAACAAACTCCAGCCTAAGCCTAAAATGAGTTCTGTTTGTGAATTTTTGTTTTACCCTTCCCCCAAGTGTCGATTGAATCCAGATGCCTAACATTTGCAGCAAGCCATAAAGCCAGCACATATGGGCTGCTTCAGGCCATGCTGTAATTCTGGTAGGATATATTTTGGCAGGGCTTTTTGCTGTTCTGACTTGGAAATTCTCACACACAATGCAGAGATCTCAAGTACAGAATTCAGATGCTGCCATGGATCTCAGCTCTGTTTGAAAGAGAGAATGGTCATCTTCCAGATTCAAAGCTACTTGGGGGTACAGTGGTGGAACTAACACAATTACCTCCTTTTGGAAGCAAATTTCATTTGCATGTAGCAAAATAGCTGCTGAACACATCCCTAGTGAGCCAAATCAAGAGTGAGTTAATAGATATTTCCACTCTATATAGAGCATACTACAGACAAGTTAAGATGAAGGCGAGAGTATAACTGAAAGCGAAGACAAGCTGGACAGGATTTTACTCTAACAGCTGCCTGAGTGTTTGTAGTTACAGTTTTTTAATATATACGCCACTGAGCAACCCATATGTGACTGGGATTCCTGGGCATTACAGTATAACTAGTAGTAAAATAATTGTGGAAGTAGAGAAAATGCTAAAATAAACTCAGGTTGTACAACCCTCATAACTGACAGTACTAAACAGCCCTTTCTGTAGTGCTGTGTGGAACAGCGCTTTTGGAGTAAGAGGTACATTTATTAACTGTTACAATTTTACTCGCCCTTCCTTGGAAGACACTAGTAATAATGCTGTCTTGTGTCTTGGATTCTGAAAGGCAACTGGCAGACAGGCTGGCAACGAAGTGGATGGTGCTGCAGGGATGCTCTCCACCAGAATGTGTTCGAATTTATTTGACAGTAGCCCGGAAATGGCCTCTCTTTGGAACCAAAATATTTGCTGCTAAGGTAACTGGAGCACACGTTTTTCTGTTCCTGAGAGTGAACTATCTGAGCAGAGATATACCTATGATCTCTGGTAACAAGGGTTGAAAATGCTTCTAATTCAGGAAGGCAAAAAACTGAACAATACTCTCTTCTGAACGAACAGCTCTGGTACCACCATAGGTTTAGAAAGAAGGAAGAGAATGATGTTCTAAACACTAGGGGTTGCTAGCGTTCAGTAAATAAACACTGAAGGTTCTCTGGCTGCATGAGTTGAGCCTAATGAGTACTACCTCTCCTTACAAACCTTGTCAAAGCTTTCTCAACCAGGAATTTCCCTGGTCCCAAAGGCTGCAATGATAGTTTAAAAATACTATTTACATACCACTGGGGGGTAGAAAGGAAGAGTCTCCCATAAATCACACCCAGCAGCTGACGCTAGCTAAAAGGACGATGGGTACTTCAGTCCTGTTCTTTGCTTGCCACAGAGCTGGCTGCTTTCCCTGCCACACAAGAGGCAAGCACTGCTAATGTCCTGTTGCAGAAACAAAAACTAAAGCATGTATTGGGTAAGCTGCCAGCCCACAGCCATCAGTGGGAGAGCAAAGAAGAGCTGGAGGGAGTGCTTCTCCCAGTAGCTTGTACCATCCCACAGCCCATCCCAGGCTAGAGCGCTGTGCCTATTACCCTTGCCTGAACTAATGTCTTAGGACATACTGGCTGTCTGAGAAATCTTGTTTTGGCATTAACCATCTTCCCCAACCCAGCAGAAACCTCTACTGAAAGCTTGAGATGGGTCTTGTTCATGGCTACATGTCTCTTGCTTTGAAGTCAAAGCTGCTATAGAATAAAACCTAAAATTAAAGGGGTCTTGAGTAAATATACAAGAAGTTTTCAAAAGGACAGTTATTTCCACTGTCAGGAGTAAAAGCAGAAGAGGTTACTGGTATCTGAGATTACTGACACTGATGAATCAGAATATAGAATAGTTCAACCCAGAGTTTTATAATGTTGATATTTCTGATGATTAATGTATTTTATAACATTTCAATAGTTAAACAGTAAAGCCTATGGCATTAGCCATGTAATAGCAGATTCCCAGGAAAGATTCAAGTCATTAGCCATAACAACACATAACTCACCTTTAATAGATAATTGATGCATGTTTGTCAAAATCTGTAAGAAAGAAAATTGCATTGATGTGATGGTATTGGGTGCACTGGTATTACAGAAACCAGAAGCCTTCACTGCCTGCCTGACTGATGGGAATAGCGTAAGAACCAGAGCAGGGCAGAGCTGCTGGGTTTTTTTTTTTTTTCCTCTGTCCTAGCATTTCCTTCAGTTTTAACTACACTGATGGAATTTAATTAATCTCAAAGCCTTCGTTATCATTGCATCTCTTGTGCCACTAGTCCAAAGATTCTATGTAAATCTGCAAATGTTAGTCCAGATTTTGAGAAACGTCCTCTGAAAAATCAAACCAGGTCAGACCAGTAAGCCTATAGCATTCTCTCTCATCTTCATTTTATCCTTAAAACCCAAGATTGATGTCAGAAACATCTTTCTGTGGTAGTCAAGAAATATCAAAATTAATAATTTTCTTTCTCTAGCCTATTTTGCCTTCTTCATTGGAAGACTGTCCAGTCTGGATAGCTGTGAATGAAGACGGCATCAGCATACTGGATTATAACACTATGGTATGGTGAGGAACACTGTTTAAGAAAAATAACTTTCCTCCCACAGAATGACATTACCCTGAGTCCACTTAAAGTCACTAAAAGTTTGTCTTTAACTTCAAATGGATCCAGAAGTTAATTTGTAGAAGTCAGAGATGAGGGAAGTCAGCGCTATGTTTGAATGCTACATAAACAAAGGAAAATTACAGCTACAGCGTCAGGTAGGGTTTCATGAAACAGCTAACTGACTCTTTGCGCAGCAAACATGCTCGTACATCTTGCAAAATCTCAGTGGTCTGTGCTTTACTACCACCATCTGGGATATAACAAAGTTTGGACTATTTCTCTGAAGCAGTGAGGCATTAAGCAAGCTAGGAGAAAACTAGAAATGCAGTTCTCACTTGAGCTTTCTCTGCCAGCTGTTACCTATAGAGCCAATTACCTACACTGCCTATTGGTGCTGGAGGTCTGGTGTTCTTCCAGTAAGCAGCAAATATATTAAAGTGGCCATTTTTTCTTTTACAGAACTAAGACTCTTTCAAACTCTCTGTTGTCTGCAGCACTTGAAGGTCTCCTATTCGTACTCCTCTGTGCTGACCTTTGGAGGCTGTCGAGATGACTTCATGATTGTAGTCAGTCAAATGAAAGAACGGAGTTCTGGAAAAAGCAGCACTGAAAAACTCCTTTTCGCAATGGCAATTCCAAAGGTAATTACAAAATGAACACTGAGTTTCTTTCCGGCTGGCAGCATCACAGCTGGGCATTTTGTACAAGCCCCGGGGAGTGATACTTGTGGCTGCTGCACTAGCTATATGCATTCAATATATCCCTTGTAAGCTGGAACCTTTAATCAAGAGACTTAATCTTCCTCTTTAAAGATAGACCTTCATTTAAAAACCAAACAATTCCATGTGAGAAACCCATTGGCAAAAGTTATTCAGTCAGTAGGTTCTAAAAATCAAAGGGCACTCTTACCTCTAATTGACTTACAGTTAATAATTTTCTTTTTTCCCTAGATTGTTGAAGCAACACTTCTTATTGCCAGCTATATTAACTACCATGCGACACCTTCGCTCCTGTCTGCTACACAGCCCTCCCGAAGCAAAACACCTGCTAACAAGTTCTGGGAGACTGAAAGTCAGTGCTTTTTTCCTTCCATGCCCCGAAGCACTAAGGGGCCCACCCTGCTCTGAGGGCTCATTCCAAATGACTTCGGGCTTTTTTTTTTTTGTTTGGTTGGTTTGATTGTTGCTTTTTGGGGGTTGGGTTTTTGAGTTTTTTGGGGTGGGGTTTTTTTTTGCACTGCTCTGTATGGAATTGCAGACTGCTATGATTTTGCTGGTGACACACCTTTTTCCATAACAATAGATAAAGCTCCTTAGTGTGGGTGGAGGCAATGTCCTTTCTCTTAAACAAACAAAAAAAAACAAACAAAAATTTGATTTTGGGGACTGTGCAGGAGCTTCCTTTCCATGCCACACTCCATCCAAAATAGCATGTTTCAGGTCATTTGCCTGCACAGTGCTCCAGTCGCACTACACCTGCTCTCTTTCCTTGCACCCATTCTTCTTCCATCTCCTGATCTTGTATGTGCTTGTAAGCAAAGCAGTGTTTTCTTTGATCCCTCCCACTTCCAGCTTTTCGCCTGCCTTTAGATCATTGTACACCCTGTATCTGGAATCTCAGTCCAGGTCTTAAAACCCTTACTGACCTCTCTTCCTCATCATAGCTCCTTTCAGTTATTATCATTATTTCCAATAATCTGTTTGCATCTATCTCTAACTTGCTTGCTTTTTACCTGAATCAGACTGCAACCTCTGCAAGGCAGATTTGAATGGTATATAGGCTTGAATCTGGCTGCAGCAGGCTGAGCAGACAGTCCTATTAAAAGTAAAAATGGGTGGTAATGGATACTGTGGCATGTGGCATGAACCCTGTACAAGGATGCATCCTGTTGACTGCTGCTTGCATTAGGAGCTGCCTATCCCTGCACCATAAACTAGATTTACACTGCAAAGGCTATGACCGGTGTAAAGATTAACATGACATAGTCTGATCAGGTAGTTTGGACATAACTTCAGCTCTATGCTCTGGTTGTGAATAGCCATCATATTAAAGTTTTTACCAGTGTTTAAATTCAATGTTGCCACTCCCAGAAAAACTATTAAGATATTATCTTTTTGCAGAGACTGCAATAGTTTTTATGCAACTGCTTAACACAACCAAGAGGACAATTTAATTTTCCTTAGAGCTATAATGACTCCTCCCTGAAACTGATGCTAAAATTGAAAGACACAAACTTTCAAAGTCCTTGCTGCAGATATGAAAGAAAGAAGACACTGTTGAGAAGGAAGAGGAACTAAACTGACAAGAGTAATTCCGATGCAAGTCAAGGATAATGCCAGACCTGAAATACGGAGTATAGAATAAGAGTTCAGTGGTACTCAAGAATATTTTCAACTCTGTTTAAGGGTGGAAACCTAGTGTCTTTGCATGTTGAGGACTCGGAACGTCTAGGATTGGAACTGTGCCAGATGATGCCCTAGTGCCTACAGGACTGATGCATTTCGTGAGTCGATGCTGTTCTACGCAATAGGTGAACACTAGATCTCTGCTGCAGGGCCAAATGTGTCACGTGTACCACTGTCAGACAAGCACTTTCAAAGACTCTGTTAATCACTCTTGTAGATGTTTTGAGACAAGTTTGAAACTGCACACAATCTCAGACAAAGGAAGACAAGGCAAGCAAATTTTGTACTTCTGTCTTTCAGCAACTGGAACAGATCTTCCCAAACTAGCTCTGCCATTCTGAGTTGACAGAAGCTGCTCCTTTCAAACTCCTGCTTCCTTCGTGCTACTGTAGCAAGGAGGAGGTAGTCAGCAAACGTGTATTCAAGTATTGTCTTCTGACTTTCCTATAGAATGGGGGTTTTTTTATCTGTTCCAAAGGAACTTCATTATAATTGAGAAGGCTAACAAATGAAAGAAAAATAGCAATTCTTGAAAATTTTAATCTATGTGACTTGAGTTCAGCTGTTTTGATAAGCATTCTAAAAAATCTAAGGAAGAAGTAACTGCACTTTCAAAAGTACCATGTGCAACTTCGTAATAATTACGAATTCATGGGCAACATTCCCAAATTACAACAGTGTGAATCCAACCATTAGAAAGAATTCAGCAATAGCAAACCAATGCTCTTCAAAAATGAACAAGCCAACCATACCAGTGTTTTTACTCCCTAGTACTTGAAACACCCAACTGATGCACACAGCAGAGCTGATACATCAAGAAGTTTGTGTTTCATGCTTATGGGGGGTGCAAAAGCACAAATTAAAGGAGCATGGGACAGACAAAAATTGGGGGGGTGGGAATTTAAACCAAACCAAAACCACCCCATGGTTGGTTGTGGAAATAATACAGCAGACATACAACAGGAAAAGATTGTATGAAGAGACCTGATTTGCACATACAGTAATGTACCTGCTTGTTATGAATTTAAGGACCATCCCTTGAAGTTACAGAAAAGGATAGACGCTTTCTGAGCCAAAAACAATTTTGAGAAGGTATTTAGTATTGGGGCTTTTTCCTTAGATACTTTGATGTGACAATATATCCTGATAGAGTGGTCAGTAGTGTGTATTTCCTCTCTCTCTCTCTGCCCTCCCCCTGCCATGCACGGAAAGAGTGATCTTAGTATAGCTATATCAGTTTGAATACAGAGAGCATTATTCTTCCCCTTGCCTAACAATTCTTCCTCTATCTGAGGGTCTGTTTGGCAGCCTGCTTCTTGTATCCCACTGGTAACAAAGCTGCTTCAGAATAAGCTGAGCTGTCATTGGGGCTGGGGATGCACAAGACATAAAAGTCTCCAGTTCACAGGTGAGAGGCTGTACTTACTTTACAGTGCTAACACTCGTGGCCTTAGAGACTTGTACCAGGGTGAACAGGAAGCAGAGATGTTGAATAAGCAAGAGCTGTCCTGAAGCTCATTATTTTCTGCCATAACTGCACTTTAAATTGAGAAGCATGGCATAGAGAACTTTTTTTTCTTCCTTATTTCTTAAAAATATTCACCAATACTTGAGTATTTCAGGGACCACCCCACTCTGATGGATGCACATATACCTCCTATTTATAGCTTACCTAACTTTAACCAACCAACTAATCTTGTGTATATATCTGTGTTGTATGATTCTTTGGTAGAGAAAACAATTTTTATTTTAACCAATGCTTCTGGCAACAACCACTACTGCAGCATAGAATGACATGACAAAAACCTTTGTTTTCCTAACTGCTGTATGTATGTAAAAGGCTGTCTGGGAGATACTGTGAGATTTCTGTTTGTTCTTAATAAAATGCAGTTATCATGAATTAAACTGTATTATTCTCAGAATGAAAGAAACTATTTTAAAAGCCAAAATAGTCTTAATGTAAACAAAAATGGACAAAGATTGCGTCTGGTATCCAGGCACGTAGCTGGTGCGAACCTGCCCTAGTCTGATTCCTTATTTCTCTCTGCTGATCTTCTCTCAGCTTTAGAGGATGACTAAAGTGCACTCCCATGGGCATAGGGTGGTCACTCCTTCAAAAGATGGCTGAAACAATCTTCCAGACTTCCTCCTGTGACACAGCTACTTGGTTATTTCTTCAGTGCACGTTCTCAAGATCTCATGGGATTTTTATAGCATAGTCAATGTTCCCAGCACACTCTTAAGCCCAAGACTGTCCACTCTGCTAAGACATCATTTATTTTCTGATGCATTTTCCCCATGGCTCAGCGAATCTTCCTGCTGCTATACTGCTACTCAAGGGCCTTGATCATTTCTCTTCCCCATGAAGAAATACAACGTGGCCAAAACACGCTCCAAGCCATACGCAGCTCAAGCATACCACATGGTTCTTAGTCAAAGGACCTCCACTGTAGTCATTTACAGTCACACTCCCAGGGCCTGCCACTGTTGTTGATAGCCAATTTCTGCTCTTGCCCCAGCACCCACGCTTCCCAGTTCTGCCTGGACTTGCAACCAAACACAGTCTGCATCAGGGTGCAGCTTCGCTAACTTCAGAGAGACCTACCAACTTACATTAGGGCAACACTGGAACTAAAAATCTGGCCAAGTCCAATATTTAAAGTATTTAGGAGAAATAAAACCATACAAAAAGTTAAGTAACCTAGATAACATTCCCCAAAAGCCAGTGGCACATCCCCAAGGTGCTGCCTTTCACGTGGACAACCAGAATACTTCTTGCGACATGAGCTAACCTGTGTCTTTCAAACTTCATGGCACCATGAAAAAAATAAATCCCCTTGTCTCTACCATACTGCATGATGGTATATTGCCACATGTTTTAATTACAGATTGTGTAGAAAAGCATAATATAGCATTGTATGCAAATTAAGCATGGCCCCAGGCTCCTGCCAACTTGCTGGTTTAGCTCTTGTTTTGACATTTCAATTGTCTCAGTTATATTACTAAAGAGTCACGGGAAAAAAAAAAAAAAGAGAGAAAAATACCAGTTAAAGGTTACAGTAACTTTTAGCTTGTCAACAAAGAAGAACTTCCCAACCTGAGGTTACTCCCCAGGGCACAGATCAATAAAACTTTATTCACATAGTCATTACCATCATTTTCAACAACACATTTTCCTCATATTCTCAGAGCCTTTTCTGTGGCCCTTTGAACGCCACATCTTTTCCATGTCCTGTGTCACCAGCCTCCTGCCCCATTCAGCAATGGGTCCACATCTTCCCTGTCTTCCTCTTGCTACTTATGTACTTATAGAAGCCCTTCTTGTTGCCTTTGACATCCCTCAACAGCTTCAACTCCAGGTGGGCTTTGGCCTTCCTAACTGCATCTCAGACAGTGTTGCTGTATTCCTCCCCAGTTACCTGTCCCTGCTCCCACCTTCTGTATACTTCCTTATTGTGTTCAAGCTTTACCAGGAGCAACTTGCTCATCCAGGCAGGTTTCCTGGAGTTTTTGCTTGACTTCCTGTTCATTGAGATGGAATGTTCTTGAGTTTAGAGGAGGTGATTCTTGACTATCAATCAGCTTTCTTGGAACCCTCTGCCCCATCCCATGAGACTCTTTCAGGCAGATCCCTGAAGAGGTCAAAGTCTGCTCTGTTTATTTCATTAAACATAATTGAATGCAACAGTATATTTTAATTTTCTGTTATTTTGTTTCTGAAATTCTCCTGTGTATCAGGGTTACCAGCCCAGCCCACACATCAGCTTTGGTATTTAGAGTGGTATATGCTTTTTTCAAACAAAGGGCTAAATAGAAACAAAAAAATGTATATTTTTGGCAGTCTGGCCAAGTTTACGAGTTTATCATAATCTTCAGATCCACAAAAGAGTAAATGTTTGATGCACGTTCCCTTTGCCCTATTTCCTGATAATTCTTTTCTGGAGAGGCAAGAAAAAAACTGTTCTCAGTCTAAAAAGTTCTGCTCACCTGTCATCGTAGCAGAGGATTTCAAGGCTCACTTCTGTGCTTGAGCTAACATTTTCTGTGACAACTCTATGAGTCTGTGTGGGCCTTCAGCCGTAACATCACTGTACTGCTGCACCACCTACTCATCTAATTAGAAAAAAGCCACGGGGCAGTTCTGCTTGCTTTTCCATGTGTCCCTCTGAGCCCTTCTGCAAGTTTGCTGCCTTGTTGGGTTTTTTTACTATTTTATTCCACTTGATTGTGGAGCTGTCTTCCTCTGCTCCAGGATTTCTTGACAACTTTTGTACACTTCTATCAAGCAGTCCAGACGTGGCTTGGAGCTCTAGAATTTAAGTCAAACAAAGAATCAGGCTCTAAATTAGGTGTAAAAGAGCTGGAAAGCTTCAACTTCCCACTAGTGAGATTATTAGTCAGAGAAAGGAATGTGGAGACAGCTGAAGCTGACACAAAGCTGACTATCAGAAGCTTGCATGTATAATGAACGCAACAGCAAGCTATCTGTAGTGCATTAGCTTTCTCACATTAAGTCAATGGAGAATAGATTTCCCTTTTACATGTTTGTTGAGAAATAATCCATCAAACTCCAGGAGGTGTTTGATGTAAGCTGGTGATATGGGAATGCACAGCCATTCCATAAGCTATAACTTAGCTGCTCTGTGATGAAAAACACCAGTCTCTAAAGCTGCCAAGTCAAAACATGCAGCACTGTTCTGCAGTTAGCCTGAATCTCTCACCAAATCAGAAATCCTCCCCGTTCTCAGCTCACAGTGGCAACGTGGAAGAACATCCACACCTCTCAACCCATTAACCTATCTATTAGGCCATACTCCCTCTAGGGACCTACCAAACAGCAGACTTCCATACACTAATCCACCACCCTAGAAGACCTCCACCCTGAAAAATCTACCTTCAGGACAGGGCTTTTAGACACCTGGCCCTTGGCCTCTGCTAGTACTGCCAACAAAAGGACAACAGAAGGTTAACTGAAAACATCAATTCCTTTCACACAAGCAGTGAATGGTGGTCAAAGTATAATGATTTTCCATCACTTCTAACCTGGACCAGATTAAAAACAGCAAGGAGGTGAAAGTTTCCCAGGCCCACAGTCCCTATGGTCCCATGACTTTTGAGCTCCCAAAACAGCATTACCGTGTAAAGTCCATCAAATGTCTCCCCTTGCAAGTGTTGCTTAAAAGAACAATAGGTCAATTCAGCGCAGAAATGCTCCTGGGCTCAGTGACATGGTAAATTGTATTTTTGAAGTCTGACATAACTTAGAGGAACTCAGTGAAGGAGACACTATAAAGTTACTAATTACTGCTCCTTCAAAACTAAGTAACATACTAACTGGCATGTTAAAGTGAGAATTACTGACAGGTAATGAATTGCAAACTGACACAGCTCTTTCTGTACCTCCTTTCCTGGTGGAGTCAACTCTACCAGTACTAAGATACTTCCAGGAAAATAAAACTGTTCAGAGTTGAGGTAGAAAAAAAAGAGAAACTACAGAAATGCCAGGCAGCATCTCTGAAGCTGGAAAGGAGCATGTATAACTAAAACCAGGTTCCTGATTGCAGCTTTCTGGAATTTACTAGTTGTTGATTTCCAGCAAATCCATTTTTTTTCCCTTGACTATGTGTGAAATGCTTGATTTATATTATGGCTAGTAAATGTCTTTATAATTGTGGGACAGAGTTAGCAGCAAGTATCAATGGAATAGTCTATTTATACCCCTCAGTATTTAGCTGAAGACTATCTGTATCCAGTCATAAACTGGATGTGGATTACAAAATGACAGCCACCAGCAGCAGGTGAATTAAGAAGGACAGAGAGGGCTATAAACCTCAGCAGCCTAAGATGTGAGGTACCTCTGTACTGCTTACCACCACTCAAGGATCAGGGCATTGTTGTGTTAGGCATGTACATACAGAAAGAAAATCCATCCCAAAAATAGGATTATGAACAGTAAGAACAAGTTGGCAAGGGAAGAGAAAGGGGGGACAGGGTAATGGTAGAGCAAACAAGTTACTATACATTAAGAAAATTGCTCACAGCTTGTACTGTGATCTTTGTCAACAGGTGAGACAGGGGAAGTCATTCTAATGCCAAGAAGGTTTTTGGCACACAGAGCTGAGAGAAAAAACAGCTGCAGCACAGTGCCATATTTATCACAGTAACACTGAGCATAAGACTACACAGAAAACTGTATGAGTCCTCAGTACACTATGTGAGCCAAAGACTTGTAGTTCATGCAAACTCCTGGCTGGGTTCAGATTTACACAGCTCCCTGTTCTTTGAATGGAGGACAAATGAAAAAACCATCCCGGGTACGTAGTTCTATCAGACTTCTAATACCACCCATTCCACAATGCTGTCAGACCCACCCTGGAGGCCCACTGAAGGAACAGCAACTGTCATCAGCTACCTATAGTGGAATAAAGATAGGCTTAGACAACTGGCACACACACACAGATCTGAATTTCTCCACCATTCAGTCAAACTCACCTGAAAGAGTGGCACAACCTCAGACACTCCCTGAGGATCTCCAGGGTCCTGGAGGAGGATGCACAGGTAGTAGATCACTTTTTGCTACAAGACAAACAGACAAAATCATTGGAGTTTGAAAATGCTATCAACGTGCCTGGAGTTACCACAGAAAGAGGATCTGTTTCAACTCATTGGGCTGAAGGCCAATCGCCCTAGGCCACAGTCAAGCCTACAAATTTATATCTATAGCTTTCCTCCCTTCACACAATAAAAAAACAATTTTACCTGTGTTTTCTTCTATTAAATTTTTAACCTGAAAAGAACATATATATGCTGGAAGGGTAAGGTCTGCTTTTCTACAGAAGCCTTGCAATAGGAAAAATTCTCTCTTGTGTTCTCTATCTTCTTATCTCCATCTTGACTACTTATGGAGTTTGGCATCAGGATTTGTACAACAAAAGGAACTTGTATACCAGGAACTGTACAACACAAAGAACTAAAACCACTAGCTCAGCATTAGTGACATTATCTAAGGGATGAATTTGGCTTTTTGGAGGTTATTTGTTTGGCTTGAGATCTCCTTTAAAGGTGACAGAACAGGTAAGAGAATAAAGAAAGAAATATGAAACAACACTCCTGATGTCCATAAAGCTATGGATGGTGCTGTGTTTAACTGCTCTGGTAAATTACGCTCATGAAAATATACTGGATGTGAGTGTGCCCACAGGTACAGAAGAAAGACTGTGTATGATTACCATATGGATGGCTTCATTGATAACCACATCCTTCACGTGACCCATCTCAATGAAAGTTGTGCTTTCCTTCCCTGAAGCATAGGATGAAGTCACCTGAATGCCGAGTGAGCCGATGACCAGTAGGGATTCCTGGTCAATTTTCACAAAGTGCAGGTATGTGATCAGGCCAATCAGCGTGAGGAAGATAGCAGCAGAAAGCACCATGCTATTCTGTAACACAAGCCAAGCAAAGACAGAGCTCTGGTCTTACAATTAACTGAACACGGCTCTAGAGAAAGTAATATTGCACAGTAAATTATAATATTAAAGCTACAGTTACAAGGCAATTTTATCTAGGTAGAGTCCTTTTATACACATATATCAGCCAGCCAGGTGAAATGAGATCTAAATCAGTCTTCACAGTACAGTCTGAAAGAATTGGGAGCTGAAACTGAAAACTGCAAGAAAATTCTATTCCCTTAGCACAGAAATCTCAACCAAAACCAGTTAGTTACATCAATGACAGATTATTATACAAATGTCTATAGAGATGATGTCACTGACAGAAGAGTGTTGTGAAATGTTTACTAGAAACAAGGGTGGAGTCTCAGAGGGGAAGGAAAAAATCTTACAGGGAAAACCACTGACCTAGTGGTTTTCTTCTTAGGAATGGCAAGTCTAAACTTGTTCAAACCTGATCTCCCTTCCTGCCTTAAATACCCATCTAAAGAACATTTGCTTTCTCCTGTGCTTTGTCTGAGGGCGAATGTCTTTTGCATGCTGCAATCTTGAGATTACTGTTATATAAAATAACTGATGACACTATAGACAATAGTAAGTCATCTGAAGGCCTGGTAATAAATCCTAAAGGTCCATAAACTACAACCTATTCCTGGGACACATTTTAGAGAGCTCCAGGCCACATACCCATGAATCAAAGTTATAACTGACACTTCCTAAAGGACCATAACTGCATGGCCCTACCACTCAAGCTGGGCCTGTATCACCACATGAGGTAAAAAAGTCGTGAACACATTCAAACAGAAAGGATAAAGGATTTCTCTGAAAGTTTGTCATCATGGAAAAAAAACACCCATGAATTATATACTCTGAAATCCACAGAGTGAGAGGCTTTCAGATCTGGTTTCCTGGCAGAAAGGAAGAATTGCAGTCATTTGCATACCAGCTGCATGAGCATGTGTAAAACCAAGTAGGAGGGCAGTGGGTGGTAACCACTGGCTGGGGTGTATGCTTTTGTAACAAAAACCCCTCAAACACAGCTTCCCTTCCAGCTAGAGCAACATGAACCATCTTTTTGTCTCTGAAACCTGCAAACTGACTTACATCGCAGTCTCCATCTTCATTCCTTGTGAAAGATTATTGAAAAAATTGAAGTGCAGCAGTCATAGCACTGGTCACAGTGACTAACTTCTTCGGTCAAGCTACTGACTTCAATTTGGAGCTAACTGGTCTGGGTCTACAAGCTGGTCCTTCCTTGCAAGTATGGGTCACAGATCAGATATCTAAACTAATACTTCTAGATTTGTCAGCAGCTTTTGAAATCCACATTGCCAAGGTCTTACTGCTTCAGCTGTGAAACATGAGCAAGTAGACAGTCACCATGCAGTGCTCTCTTTGAGTGGTTCCGGAAAATCCCTTTGGGGATTAACACTCACTCACCTTTTTCTATATATCATTTATTCCAGATTCCCACAATGCATCTCTCCATGTCAACATCTGTTATTTGAACTCACAAGAATGCACTAAGCATCACTCAACACCCATACGTACACCAACCCTATCTGGCAGGAGGCCACAAACCAACAGAGGCATCCAAAG